AATTTTTGACAAATTCAGCTTTATACTAATATTTACTTCATATTTTTCTTTAAATCAATTCATCATTTTATATAAATAAATTTAGCTTCATCCTAAGCAAAGATATCTGTGATATTGAATTTGGTTTGTTATATTCTCCCAAATATATACTAAACATAACTATTTTTTTTTAAAGATTTTATTTATTTATTTTTCCCCCCCAAAGCCCCAGTAGATAGTTGTATGTCATAGCTGCACATCCTTCTAGTTGCTGTATGTGGGACGCGGCCTCAGCATGGCCGGAGAAGCCGTGCATCCGTGCGCGCCTGGGATCCGAACCCTGGGCCGCCAGCAGCGGAGCGCACGCACTTAACCGCTAAGCCACGGGGCCGGCCCTAAACATAACTATTTAAATTAAAAAATCCACGTGCTGAGTAAAAATGCCTTTGTGGTTGAGAAACTTCAATGAAGACTTTATGCCACTGGTTCTCAAACTTGTTGGTTTCTTTAAAATTATTGAGGACCCTAAAGAGCTTTTATTTATGTAGCTTGTATCAATTGATACTTACCTTGTTAGGAATTAAAACTGACAAAATATTATAAATTATTTAATTTATAAAAATAACATGATTTTAAAAATAGTATTGTAAACCCATGACATGTTAACATAAATAAGATACTTTTATAAAATTTAACTATATTTTCCAAAACAAAAAACTTTAGTGAGAAGAATGGCATTGTTTACACATTTGCAGGTCTCATTAAAGTTTGACTTAGAAGAATTCTGTATTCAGTCTGTGGCAATATGTTTCAGTTGAAATACATGAAGACAATCCAGCCTCACAGAATTCAGATAATTGTGGATAATTTTTTTGATACTACACTAAAACTTGACAAGTGGTAGCTTCTTAAAGTTTAGTTGCATAAATTAATATGAATGAATATTTTTGTACTCAGTTACACTAAAATCTATTGGTTTTTCTTGCACTTTGAATGGACTTTTTATTCATGCATGATTTGGTAACATCATGCATTGGTCATTTGGAAAATATTTGTTCACTGGGTTACGCAGCTCTTCCAAATGTTGGCACATTTCATTATACAATATCAAAAATTCACTTTTATTAATATTACTACCCACATAAGCAGAAAAGACATTAGGGTTTGGGAAGCTGTCAAGTTCATGGTGGGATATTCAAGTTTTCCAAAATTCTAGTTAAGCTTGAATTTTATCATAGGCAACAAATACTATCAGCTGTTTTACTTGATGTGACAAACTCACTTCATACATTTTTGAGAAAATGTCTCCCAAATACCCAAGTCTGAATGATTGTAGTTTGTGTGTTGACCATTCTTTCAAGTAAAGTAAAAATAGTTTTTTTAATCTTTTTTCTCCTAAAAAACGAGGTTAGTTCAGTTTGCAACTCAAACAATCGCACAAGCGTTTTTCCTTGAGATAATCATCCTACTTCTGTGCATAGCAAAAGTGCTTTATGTGTGGGGAGTAACTGATTAATAGCTATGGAGTTTTGTTTTAGTGTGATGAAAGCATTTTGGAACTGGATAGAGGTGATGATTGCACAATATTGTGAATGTACTAAATACCACTGAATCGGTCACTTTAAAATGGTTAATTGCATGTTATGTGAACTTTACCTCAATAAAAAAGTGAAAAAAAAAGTGCTTTATGCGTAATTTCCATTTCATTACAGAGAATATTAAAAAGACTTGTATTCAAAGGTCTGGAGTTAATACAATTAGGAGTTTTTTGCTGCTTTGTCAAGGACATTCTTAAGTGAAACTGGCATTTTGTTTATTACCAGTGCATGTTAGTGAAGAATACAACGGATACTAGTACAGATGGTACCACCGCCTTGATTTGCACCAGCAATTTTACCACCACTGCTTTTACATCATCAGTGCAAATATCAACATGGTAAAAAAAGGTAAATAATTTCTCAGTACTATTATTAAAATGGTTTTGATCCATATAGGTCTCTGAAAGAGTCACAGGGTTCCCCAGGGACCCGTGGACCACACTTTGAGGACCAACGCTCTATGTTGAATTGGAGTTGAGCTGACCCACCCCAGGAATAGGGATGCAGTGTGGTACCTGGAAAATCCCTGGAGATGTTGAATCATGTAACCATGGGTCCAATTCTAGTTTCTATCTTATTCTGGGCAAGTGGTTCCTCAAATTCTGAGAGCCCCAATTACTCCTGTCTGCTAGCTGAGTTGGGAGGTCAAGGAGATGCTGAAGGGTTATGAAAATTTGGGGATAATCCACACAAAGCACTCAATGAAGAGGAAGTGACTTTTATCATTAAGCAGTAGGACCCCGTGTTGGGAAGGCTGCATTTTTGGGGCTTGAGGGACTCCTGCCTTCCGGGGGCCCTGTGTGACCTTGGGAAGCTGCCAACAATCAAACTTCCCATCTGTCTTAAGCTACTTCAAAGAGTCCTAGAGCAGCTGGAAGAACATTTGCAGCTTTGAAGACAGCGGTGGGGAAGGAGGCTGAAAGGGTAGCAGAAGGAGGGGAGGAAGGTCAGGCAGGTAGAGGGGGCCCCTAACATGAGAAATAGAGCAGGGAGAAGCCCTCACTGAGCCTGGATCACTTTGTCTTCAGCCAAAGCCCACAAAATATCCTGTCCAATGATTTGGCTTTTCTTGGGTACAGAAACTTTTCAAACTCATTACCTTAAAGAACTCTTACACATCTCCGTGAGGGTGAGCACAGTAGTGATTAGGACCTCACAGGGCAGATGAGAAAACTGAGGCATAGAAAAGGGAAATAAGGAATAAGTTTGTGGAGGCACCAAGATTCAAATTTACGTCTTTAGACTCCAACCAGCTTTCTTTCCATTGCTTCTTCTTAGCCCCTTCTCCTTGAAGTGAGTTTTCAGGGCCAAACAGCAGTTTTCTCTTTCCTATTTAGAGACAATTTACTAAGGTCGGCTTTAAAGGTAAGCAGGTGGGCAGCAGTAGGGAGGAGGGTAGTATGAAGTTTAAAAGCATGCTCTGGGAATCAGATCGTCTGGGTTCAAATCCTGACCTTTACACCTCCTCATGTGCAAAATGGGGGAGAATAACAATACCTGCTCATAGGGTTGTTAAGATTACATTAGATATACATGTAAAGCTCACATAGCATCACCTCATCTTGAGGTTCAATCCATGTTAGCTATTATGAGAACGAGGAGGTACAAACAGTGATTTTAATGGCCACAGAGAAATTCCTCTCACGCCCTATATACTAGTTGAGCATTCAGTTTAAAATTCTTTAGCCCAGGTTAAAAGGCAAATACGATGATAATCTGTCTAAAAAAAGTCAAAGTGATATGCCAACGATCGGCTGTCTCCCTGCTGTTTTCTGGGGAGCTGTGGGAGTCGCTGAGCGGATGCCAACAGCCTATTGGCTGAATCTTTGCCCCGAGCCACCTCATTGGGAGATAGCCAGCCTATGGCCGGGCTGTCCTGGAGTCAGATGCTAGTTTCAATCCAATCAGAGGCCACCCGACTGTGGAACCCATCCTTCCGGTTTTGCCTGAGCAGAGGCTTGAGTAGCAGGACGAGCACTCAGAGGGGGTGGAAGTTGGTGGGACCCTTATTTTATCAGACAATAGGAGAAACAGGTGGGAAAACCTGTTTTTTGTTTGTTTGTCATTCATCTATTCTATGTACTTACAGTTTCCACTGTCATTGCATAAATGCTATAATCGCATAACACAAAGGGGAAACCAGGACAACGAAATACAAATACAGGTGCAAAGTTGAGGCAGGAGGGAAAACCACGGTTAATATGCGGACCTGAAGGGTCAACAGTAGGGCACCTTTGAACTTCAAATTTAGCCCTGGGCTTTCTGGAAGCCTGGGTGAAAAGATGTACAATCAGCTACATAACACTAATTATCAGAAAGGAAGCGCATCTGTTTCTATGGGCGTAAAGCAAAGCGTTTCCTAACTTTGAAGTCTAATGTAATTTCTTTGGATTTTATTTCAGGCGATGATGCCATGAAGTGGGCAGTACAGCCTAGTGGGTGAGAGCAGTTTTTGTTGTCATTTGGGTTTGGGTTTGAATTTTGCTTTAGTGCAGCTTATTCTGGGCTGCAGTTTCTTTATCTGTAAAATGGAGGTAACAATATCTACCTATTAAAGCAACGAAGATTCAATTAGACAAGTTGTATAAATAAATATTAACTATTAATCAAGAAATTTGACTGCCCACTACCTGTCATGCACAGTTCTAGGTGCTGGAGATAAAGCAATGAACATACAAGATCCTTATCTTCAAGTAGTTTTTACATTAGAATGAGATAGAAAGGCAATAAACATGAAAAATGGATAAATAATTGCAGAGAGTGCTGTGGAAAAAATACAACAAATGCAAGGATATTTCTCATTTGGCTGGTTATCTCAGCCATTTTCCAGAACAATCAAGGGTATAATATTAAAATGCAACTCCGAGGAGGTGAATCTGTTAAGGCCTAAGGTAATTCAGTCCTAGTATGAAGAATTCTTCTGCAGGCTTTTGTGGATGGGTTACAATGTTTGTTTGAAAACTCACTTCTTCCAGCTGAGCTTTAGTTGAAGCAGTTTGAAATTATATTGAGTAGAACCTTGAGCACACTATACTTACATGCATTATATTAAATTAGTTTTATCCTCACTATAACTACAGGTGAAAGATACTTCTGTTGTTCTATTTTATTGGTTAAGTAGAGTGAGGCGTTGTCTTGTCCAAGCCTATAGAGCTAGGAGAAGATGCCTCCCCAGAATCTGTAGGACCACCTTTGGTTTCCTTTTTCGTCCATTTCCCACCTGTTTCTCCCTCCTTCTCCAGCTGGGCTTCACCGCCAGCCTCTCCCCTGCCGCGGGCACTCAGCTGGTTTGCAGCCCCGCCCACCTCCTGGGGCGTGGCCGGCGGCCCGGGCCCCGGACCCGCCCCCTCCCCGCCCGCGCCGGCCCGCCCTCTTTTCCCCGACCGCGGGCTCAGGGCCCGAGCGTGCGCGCGCAACCCCGCTCGCGGCCCGGCTCCGCGTCGGGAGCGCGCTCTGTGTGGCTGCTGCCGCCATGTTGTTGTGGTTGTGAGAAGGCGGCGGCAGCGGCGGAGGAGCAGCCGGACCAGACGCTCCAGCGGTCCAGGCGCTGCCCCCCCGCCGGCCCTGGCTGGGAGCCTCGTGGGGTGGCGGAGGAGGCCGTGCCGTGGGGGGCCTCGCTATGTCCTGCCGCCCGGTAAGAAGGCCCCCCCCGCCCCGTCTCCGGGGGTGAGGAGGAGCTGGAGGAGGGGCCGGCTTCGGCCCCGGCGCGGCGGCTGTCACCCTCTGAGGAGGCGGCGGCCCGAGGGGGGCTGGGGACGGCGTGCGTGGCCCGGGGAGGGGTGTCCTGGGCGCGGCCGCCGCCGCCAGGGGGAGGCGCGGGGAGTGGGAGCGTAGCGGCCCGGCTCCTTGGCGCGGGAGAGGCGGGGTCCTGGGCCCGGGCCCGGGCGGCCTTCCCGGACCTGGGGGGGACGGGCCCATGGGCTAGGGGTATGAGCCGCTACCTCCGGGGCGTCCGGGAAATGCCTGCTGACCCCTGGAAGGTGAGTGTGCGCCCCTCGCCCCCGACCGGCTCTGTGGGAGTCCACCGTGGCCTGAGGCCGGAGGCCCGCGGAGCCCCCGGGGCGAGCGGTGCGGGCCCGGGACTTGTGGGAAGGAGGAGTGGCCGCCTGCCTGGGCAGCAGGGTAGCCTCCTGACCTGGTTAGTAGTGGGGTGGAAGGATAGTTGGGAGGCGGTTGAGAGAGCTCAGGAAACACTGGTCAAACAGCTCCACAAAAGATCCCAGGGTTATTTCTTAGGTGGAAATCGTGCTGCTTGATGGATTGCATTGTGCTGCTGCGGACCCCCTAAGAGCGTGTTGGTTGTACTTTGGGCTGGAAAACTTACTTCAAAAGGATGGGTTAAATTTTAGGGCCACTTTAAGAAACTCCTTTAAGGTCTGATAATCTCACCTGTGAGTTTTGCACATGAGCTACTGTTTGGTATTGATGTTCAGGTGTCTTCTCCAGGCCGAGGCCTAAATTCTTGACTGTTTTAGTATGTTGACATCCACTTTATCTGACAGTATCCTTTTTTTTTTTTTTTACAACAGAAAAAAAAAGTGCGCATATTCTTCTAGTTGAGGTTCAACTTAGTTTCTCATATGTGGACGGTGACGCCATTGGAGGAATGAAATGTGTTGAATTTCAAGAGATGATTTTTTATGTAAAATGTTTGTGATTTGTACATGGAGAGGTGATGGGGACCTTCCCCTTTCATATTCAAGGCTGTTGTTTTTGCTTAGAGACCAAGAAAGGTGTGTTGGTGGCATGTAGAAAGTCTTGCCCTCTAGGGCTTGTGACTTGGGTGGGTAAAAGAGCTTACAGAATGACAGTATTTTGAGTAAACCCAGAACTGTATGTGATATTAAACTGAATTTGGAGGGTTCTAGACTTTTAGATTGGCTACCTGTGCAGGCCTCTTTCAGCTCTAATTACCTCCCTCATTTTCAGGTCACCCAGAGCAGTTCAAGTGATCAGCACAGTGGTGCTGCCCCACTAGTAGTTAGTTAATGGCAAGCCATAGGAGAACCCAAGTTTCTCAGCTTGTAAGCCAGGTTCTTTAGTTCACTGGTTACCTAGTTGGATACCTGTCATCAGAAATAGTGTGGACTGTCTGAAATGCTGATTCTTGGGCCTCACGCCGGACGTGGTGAATTAAAATCTCTAAGGGTGAGGCCTGGGAAGCCATCCTTACAAATATCCCTGAATGATTCTGGTCAGCCAGGTTTGTGAACTTCTGCTTTAGGTCACCTTTGGTATTCCAAAAGATTCCCATTAATGATGACTTCTGAGAGTGCTTTTAATTGTTTATAGGTCTTTAAGAATCTGAGAGGTAGGGAAGAAGGGGAAGCCTGAGAAACTTAAAACTGAGAATTGAGCATCTCTTAAAATATAATGGATTTATGTAGGGGAAACAGATTTGTTGCCAAAAGTTATTTGTGCAAGTCTTCAGGAACACACTTGATAAAATTAGATGCTGCTTGACTGGAGGTATATCCAGAGATATATTGAAGAATCCAGAGGAAAAAAACAGAGAGGCCCTGGAGGCAGTAAGTCTACTTCTAGGTCACAGAGGGGTCCACCTAAGGTGCTTTCCAACTTCCCAACATCATGGTTGCTTCTAAATCATCTGACTCAGGTTTCTAGTAAAGTGAGGGTAGGGTGGGTGAGTTAGCAGCCATTTGAGACAAGGGTTGTGACCCAGGAAGGTTTACTGTGGATTGTGAAAAGTTCTTGAAATTTGCCCCAGGCCATGAGGAGTGGTCAAGTCAGTTTTTATTTCTGTTGTAGTTCTGGTTAACACCTTCTGTGGTAGAGTGGAATGCTGAGTTACCAAAGGAGTATTCATATTGCAGAGAGGGTGTGGCGAAGTTTGTTATAAGTCTGGAAGAGTTGGCAGAAAATGTTGTTATAGTTGTGTAGGGTAGTGAAGGAGTTTGGTAAATATCCTGTCAAACTGTGAGTAGTATTTTTAGAGACGTGCACCCAGTTGTCCACTACAGGAGCCAGAGGCCGTGTCTGTTTTGTTCCTTGGTGTCTCCAGTACCTAGCATAGTTCTCAGCATATACTGTGCCCTCAGATATTTTTTTTTTTTAATAATTTTATTTATTTATTTTTTCCCCCAAAGCCCCAGTAGATAGTTGTATGCCATAGCTGCACATCCTTCTATGTGGGCCTCAGCATGGCTGGAGAAGCGGTGCGTCTTTGTGCGCCCGGGATCCGAACCCGGGCCGCCAGCAGCGGAGCGCGCGCACTTAACCGCTAAGCCACGGGGCCTGCCCAGATATTTGTTGGGTAAATGAATAGCATTGAGATGGGGAAAAGAACAGTTATGGTGGTTGATAACATTAGTTATTAAAAGCTACTTGATTTCTTGCATTGGATTAAGAGCCGGTTTTTAGCCCACGTGGTTGGGAACTTTGAGATTCCTTCAAGAGATTCTGTTTTCTAAAAACTGTCTTTGTACACTCTCCCATCACCTAGTTTTTGGGTCTTAAATGTGTCTTAATTTTTTCAGATGTTAGTGACTATTTTATTTTATTTTATTTTGTGAGGAAGATCAGCCCTGAGCTAACTTCCATGCCAATCCTCTTCTTTTTGCTGAGGAAGACTGGCCCTGGGCTAACAGCTGTGCCTGTCTTCCTCCACTTTATATGGGACGCCACCACAGCATAGCCTGACAAGCGCTGCCTCGGTGTGCACCCGGGATCCGAGCCCAGGCCGCCAGCAGCAGAGCGTGCGCACTTAACCGCTGTGCCACGGGGACGGCCCCAGATGTTAGTGACTTTTTTTAGGAACACATTTTATTAGACGTAGAGGTGTTTAGAATAATGGGAAGCTGTAGATTGGCAGACATTCTCTGTCATTAATTGACTGTGTGTCTGCTGTTGGAAATGTCACTTCTCTGGGCCTCAGTTTTCTCATCTATACAGTTAAAGCCCTATCCTTGTTGATCTCAAGCAGTTTCTCCAGCCTGATTCTGCAAATCTTTTTTTTTTTTTTAAAGATTTTATTTATTTATTTATTTTCCCCCCAAAGCCCCAGTAGATAGTTGTATGTCATAGCTGCACATCCTTCTAGTTGCTGTATGTGGGACGCGGCCTCAGCATGGCC